TCTTATTTGACTGAGACTCTCCTGTCACAGAGTTTGTTTTTTTTTCTTGTCCCACCATAGAGGAGTTGGGACTTCTACCTCTGTCTTTCCCTTGGTTCACAGCCTTCCACGAATTGTGAATATGTGCACATTTCCTACACTTTTTGACATCATCAAGCTGGCAAGTGTCTCATCCAATTTGCTGGAGCAAACCAAGGTGCTGGAATGGCTTTCTTGAATGGTAAATATCCTCACTGAGTGTGTAACAGCTGAGAATGCTGCCTCTAGCATCTGCCCACATGCTGCAGGATTATACAAACCCCAAATAAAACCAAAAGAAAGCAATACAGACACAAAACAAGCACTCAAGCCTAACTGAAGTTGTCTTTCTTTAACAAATACAGAAATATGGCCATATCTGCTTCAAAAAGTAGAGTTAACAATGAGATCACTGATGCTTCCCACACACTGCTTCCTGCAAAGCAGCAAACATGATACAGATGAAGAAATTCTGTCAAATTTCATGTGATTACTGTTGCCTGGGAAACCACTTCCTTGGTAACTCCAATGCATTCTCAGCATGACTCAGTATCAATTTCTCTCTGGCTCTGATAGACACAAACCTGCAGTACAGTATGAAGTGAGAACAAGAAAAACAAAAAAAAACCAACAAAAAAGCCAACCTGAAGAAAAAAGGAGAGAATGAGCAAAAGATTTCTTGTTGCTGTTTCAAGTGTGTCTAAATGAAAAATTATGTAATCAGAAATCTCTTTGGAAGTTGTTTTTAATATTGTTTGGGGGAGAAATCATTTATATATGTCAGAAAGTGTGTCTTGAATTCTAAGTGTCAGGTTGGAGACACATTCTTGTGTGGCTCTGGAGAATTGGCACTGAGCCTGCTATGGAATATTGGCTGTCACTGGTGTTTTCTCTGTTCCAGTTTGTCAGGACATTTGTTGCTGAATCCACACTATAGAATGCAGTTTAAGAAAAATTCTTGAATGTATCATGTTTATGTGTAAAAGTTTGATGATTTCATATTTAAATTTGTATCTTGTAGAATAATTACATGTTATTAAGACAATAATGTGTTAATAAAGTATATGCTTTCCTAAGCAAAAATCTTCCTTCAGTGCCTGCATTTTGTTGAATATTTTGGCATTGCAGTCACAATCAAAAAAAATTAAGGCAAATATCAGTGAGCACTTCAGGGCCTCAGTCAGGAGGCCTATTCAGGGTGTGGTGATGTTCTCTGCAGTTTTTTAATACAGTTTTGCTATAATAGGCAAAGATGCTTCATGAAGATGAAATCATAAATTATAATATTTCAGCCTCCAACAACACCAAATAACAACTTTTTTCAAGAGGAGCACATTTAGCCAGGAAGGGATAAATTCCAAGAAATACTTTAGACAAAGAAAAGGTTTGAAAAAAAAGAAGCTAAATTTAAAAAAGACTTCTTTATTATCTCATAGGATAAGAGTGTCTCTCTGTCACTCTGCCTTTAAATAGATAAATACTATGCTTCTTGCATACTGTTGGCTTGCTTCAAGAAAAAAATCTAGCTTTTTAAAAGTCAGAATTTGTATATTTGATTTCTCAGAGGATTCAGTTATGTCTACTGTCTATGGGCTTGAATAGATATAATTATTCTTGCCTTTCAGGCATTCATTTGCAGGCACATCAGGTTTTCTGTGAATTTATTTCAGTATGTTTGCCATACATCTGAGGGAGCAATTCTTTTTACATCAAATGAGTAACAAACATTCATTTATCTTTTGCCATGGTGCAGATCAAGGTACTAGTTACCTCACTGTCCAAGAGATACTGGATTTTTTTCAAGATGAAGTACAGTGTGATTAAACCTATTTCAAGTATGTGTCATTACAGAATTTTGTCAGTACTTGTGAGCTATTCCAAAGCATTCTCAGAAATCTTTATGTCTCTTCAGTATTAGAATACATGGTTAAATTTTCTGAATAAATGTTTTCAATATATGAGGTTTCTGTGAACAACTTTTTCACAGACAAACAATTAAGTGTTATTCAGAGAAAAACATATGGAATAATGGGGACTTGTAGTCAGACCAGGGATTTACACAGAACAGGGACAAATACCCATCTTTCTTGTGCCTTTGGTTGAAGTCCTAATTGCTGGGATATTGGTATTCTGTGCCATTTCCCATACTTCTTTAAATATGCACCAAACTAATGAAGGGTGATTCGGAACATTGCCCATGACGTTAATGAATCAGGAAGAGCAACATCTCAAACCTTGGGCTCCCAGCAGCCAACCCATTGTTGCTCTTTGATATTTTCACAAACTTAATTTGCATGGTCTTAGTTTGTTTCAGTTCAGAACAAAGAACAAATGTCAAACCCCTCTAATTTTAACAGAGATTCCATTTTTCAGGCAGGCTTTCCTACCATTTGTGAAGACTTTTCCTATGGCCCAGAGGACTCACATTATCATAGACAAAATCCAAGCACAGTCCCATGGAATATAGCTCTCCTTCAAACCAGTATAAATGGACAATTTGTCTAAACTCTGGTTAAACCTTTCCTTGGTCCCAAGCACAGTCAGCTCCAGGCAAGGGTTGATTTGCAAAGCACACTGGCCCATTTCAGCCAAACCAAGACCCTGTATTTCCCAACATCCTTCTAAACCCCAGGCGAGGAGCACAGGTGGCACCATTAAGGAATTAAGAAAAGTATCACGGAAAGTCCAGAGAACACCAGTGGGCAGTGGGAGCAGCTATTACAGTGATAAAACATGGAAATTCCAAGGAAATAGTCACAGTCTTAATAAGACTCATTATTTCCAATCCATGGCCTCACCTCTTCTAATGCTTACACTTCACCCCCACACCACATCTCTTCTCTCATGTGTCCCCAGGAAAATGAATTTTTGTATTGTAGCAACTCTGTTGCTCCTTAATTCCCTTTGGATTTCTTCCCACTTACAGTGTATGTTTTATCTCACTCACTGGATAAGTTTTAGGAAAGGAAAATGTAGTTGCTATCATGTTGTCCTTTTTCCTTGTGTTTTTCTTCCACCACTCTATTCATTATCATAACCCCCATGACTACTAGTTAGTAAAAGTCACTGGCTTTTCTGCTGTCACTAACTGAAGTGCAACTGAACTGGTGTCACTTAGCAGACAAGTTTTCAAAAAAGAGTGGCAAGAGACTTTTATAAAGCATTATAAAAAAAGGTTTCTCCTTTAATGAATAAAAATTAACACCCCAGCTGGCACAACACCCCCTGGACTGGGCCACCTGACCATTTCAGCCTCCTCTCTCCTAATCACCAGGATATTCATGTGACCACAGCCTCAAAGATCTCTTCAGTGCATATTTGTGTCCCACAGTTTCTTATGCTGAGTGGCTCAGACCATCACAAATGATCAAATAATTTTCTAGAGCAAATACTTTAAAGCTAATGAAAGTAAGGTTGCAGCTAAAATATTATATGTAGCATAGGGTTGTTTGCTTTTTGTTTTCAGCTTCCTAAATAACAGTGCATGTATAACTGACATTATTTATGGTGCTTCTGTTAACAATTGTAATACAACTAAATCCTGAAAGTACAGCCAAGAGTCAGAGATCTTTCTTCTCAAGTTTTAAAACTTTAGTGGCATCATTAGTCAGGTAAAGCGAGAAAATAAAGGAAGATACAACAAAGATCTATAAAATTATGAGTATTATGAGAAAGCTTAACAGCAATATTTACTCTTTGTTGTAACAAAATGACTAGGATAAAAATTCAAACCAAACTTAGAAGCAACTTCACACAACTGAACTATGGTGATGATTGCTAATACATGGTATTGATCCAGTTTATATGGATTCAGAAAGTACATTTATGAATTTATGGAATGAAAATTTGAAAAGTACAGCTTTCCTTTACTATCCCTAAAATGTGGCAACACTGTGCTAATATATTGACAGACAAGGGACCTGAGAGGTAGCTAAGACAGCAGTTATTGAGATGGAAGACAGCAGCTGCCTGAAAAATCAAGTAAAAATTGATTATTTCATGCAGTTCCTGCCAAAACAAGAGCAAACCACAAAGCAATGTGTTGTTTATATGAAAAAAAACTAGCTTGAAATTTAAAGCTTAAATTTCAATGCACAGTGCTTAAAGATCTGATTCACACTTTTGCAGATAAGTAGGCTTTTGTTTTACGTAATGGAACTAAATGCTTGAACTCAGACTTTTTCCTTAAATGTTGTTTATTTCTTCAAATCATATGAATTGTTCTAGATACTTCGTTTTCTTAACATTGGGATGACATTCAATTCAGATTTCCACAAAACTGAGTAAAGAAATAGCCTAGTCAAAGATAAAAATTTTCTCTCAATTATTCCTCTTATGCTACAGTAATGTGACACTGTAAATACAAAATACCCATAATTATAGAAAGTACTTGTATGAACAATCAACTGCACTGAGTTTTCTATACCTTTATAAATTAAATGAAAAAAATAGGGCAAAATTAACAATTTGATTTTGGAGCAAAATTTGTTTATTTTTTTTTTGTTATAAAATTTTGGAGCAAAAATCTGTTTATGAACAGCTCATTTCTTTTTTTTCCCTTATTTTTTTATTTTTGTTTTTAAAGAGGACTTTTTGACCACTCTGTGTTGTTTAAACACAGCCATCATATGCCAAGAGAGATTTTTCCCTTTAGCTGCTGCCTCAAGCCTTGCTAGTACTGCCCAACATAGAACTGGTGTCACAGCTGCAAATTCACTCTACAGACCTGCACTCAGCTGGGCTGCACCCAGCCCTCCCAGGTCTCCTTCTGCAAGGTTTGGTTTCCCAAAACAATACACAGATGTTCTAAGAGCCTTTCTCTTGTCCCACCAATGGGATGAGGGAGGTGTTCCTTCCACCAATCAGGTTAACCTGTATCAGAACACCTTATAGAAGAGGGTTGAAAAACCCCAAAATAAAGGCTTTTTTCTTATTAAATAAACCTCTGGCTGTTCTGTGATCCGAACCCTCACTCTATACTTTGTGTCCTCTAGCAACAGATAGATGTGGTTCTGTTGAAGCTGTGATCCTGTGGAAGGGTCTGGTCATCCTCTGAAGGTCCAGCAGTGGTCATCAAGCTCTTGTCCTCTGGGAATGCAGTAGGTAAAGGCTACCCATGGTGCTGTAACCTCAGGTTATATCCAGGTGGGAATGTTTGGCTTCTCCCCTGGTGAAGCATCTCTCAATAGAATGATGTAATTTTATCAGTCATGCTGTGAGATTCAATGGCTCATTAGTGCAAGTAGCCCCCCTGGAGAGAGTTATAAGGGATGAATGATGGAGGAGATAAGGAACATTGCCCCATTTGTTTTAACGACTTAGGAGGATGGTGGTAGAATACATACTTTTGGTTACATCTTACACTGTAACCTAAAACACTGTCCAAGAGTGGAAATTGAGTTTATGGCCCAGATGAGCTCATTTTCACAGCACATTGGTTCCATGTTTTTCAGGACCAGTGGATGCCGTGCCATTTTCTCAGGACAAAAATTAATTTAATTAAATTAAATTGAATTAAATTGAACAGAATAGAATACTTCAGTTGAAAGGTACCTGCAGCAATCATCAAGTCCAACTTCTCAGATTGTGTGCAATCACATAAAACCAAGGAGATATTTTTGGCCTGAAAGGAATAAAATTGCTAGTGACCATTTTTGACCATCTTAAGGTGATTTAGAAAAAATCAAACCAGAAAATTTTCGAATTTTCTTGTCTCTGTTCTTCCCTATGTTCACTTACAAATTTCTATGGAGTGGAATATATTACCAGCTATTTAACCCTGTCAGGAAGCCATATCAATTAATAGCATAAATGTCTTACTATATATTTTTTCCTTATAATTAAGATTTATGGCAGAATTCCTGTGGACATACTTCTTGTAGATAAGGATTTACACATTTGAGTACATAGTGTCCTGAAGGCATTTTAAGTGTAAGTCTGCTCCCTTTTTCCCTTCTAAGAGGGTGAAAATTTAACATGGAATCACAGAGTTATGTGTAGTTGTTAAAATGTTGTTTAAAATAGGGTGTAAATTGAAGGATTCTTATTCTCATTAAAAAAAAAGGTGCAAAGCTTTTAAAACTATCTCATAGGGCACATTTGAAAACTATACAAGTAAACTGCCATTATCTTTATGTTAGGCTAACTTGTGCTTTACAGTGTTTTCTGTCTGTTTGCTGTGCAGACTGCTTAGGAGCAGAGGAAATCATAAGCTCCAGGAGCCAATCTGCCACTGTTGTCTGTTTATGTAGTCTGATAGAATTTACATGGGCTGGCAGAAAAACTTTCCCTTTGCATGCTTGGTGTCTAGGGGAATTTGGAAGTATGTCCAAGTTTTATAAAATAATGATAAACACACAATACACCAAGCAAAAATAACAGATTTTCTAAGGCCTTTTCTAAGCAAGTTAAGTCTGTGGACAAACAGAAGATAACAGATAAAAGAAAAGGAAAACCAATCCATTTATGCATCAAAGTTAAAGTGAGTCACTCTGCAACATAAAGCACGTTTTTAGTGGATATAAATTTAGCAGCTCTCTGCAGCATTATGCATGACAGCTGTCTTGTGATATTTCAAGTATAGAACAAGTCCCTGGAGACACCATGTAATTTATAATGGACTAACCATAATGAACCATAACAGTCAGAAAAGGAGCTGGTTCCAATGAAATATGGAATGTTGGTTTACTTGTATTATAGGAACATCATGTTGAAGATCTCACTTATCTGGGATCAGACAGGAAAAGTGCAGAGGTCAGTTTATTGGTCACTAGAAAGGAAAAAGCCAAAACAGAAAATCTGCTGTTTGTCTAGAGTAAGAACTTAAAACAAAGAAAACAAATGCAAAGGATCACAATATACTTTTCCAGCAGACTAATAACTAGCAACCTTTTTCTCCAAGTGCACAGCAAATGCCTTTCTGTTGTTTGTGCTGGCAGTGCTTTATCACAATTGGTGCAGGAACAAAATCCAGTGATACCTGCACAGTCAAGGGCTCTGCCTTCCTAAGCTGTGCTGCAAATTCATTAGGCCCCAGCTGTCTACAAAGGCACTCTTTATTTTTGATGTATCTGTTACTTCATTATTTCACAGGTATTCATTATTTCTTGCAGGTAGACTGTGGGTATCCATTTTCTCTGTTCATGTCTACCCGGGACTGATACCCAACAACCTGCACAGAGTTTGGGAAATGATAAGCAGATTAAAGGTGCTCTTTTCCAAAACACAAGGGCATATTTAGCATGTCCATTCAGTGCAGTGATCTGCACACCTTATAATTAATGTAAATTTAGGTTGACCTCTTGCTTTTCGAGGCCTGGAAACGTCATTTCTATATCCTAATTTCTTACACGCCTTTGATGACATCAGAAACTATTAAAGATATTATTAACATGATGAGAGTTTCACTTAATATTCTCCCATTCTGTCACTTGTTCCTTCAAAATAACAGTAACAAAGTGCTCTAGTTACATAATACTTTATAATTTTCAATTAATGATATAATTAAAGCACAGGTATAACAATATTATTAATGTGATAGCTAACATCTAACTCAACAACAGTGGAGGTAAAGTGTTTAGGAGGGAAGAAGGGGGATGCTACATGGGATGCAAACCTGAGGCAAGTCCCAATCTGATAGCAGGCTTACTGTCTATCAAGCAAATATTTTTGGAAATCCCAGAACTTCTTTCCAAATTTACAATATGCAAAAGGCGTGGTAATCTTAATTTAATTCCTCATAGCAAAATGTCAGTGCTTGCACACAATTGGCCACCTTCTTTCAGAGCTGGGTTTCAAACACAGAATCTAGAAAAGGTATTCTGCCTCTGCTAAAGAATGGTGCAGGGGCATTACATTTGACTTTTTATATTTTCCAATGTCTGTATCATTCTGTTTCATTATAATTAAATAAATCACTTTAATGCTTGCAGAAATGAGCAAAGCCAACTCTTCTCAGCAGCATACAGATTTTGCATAAAGTGTAGTTTCTGTTTCAACACTATGCATGAGTGCTTGCAAAATCTAGGCAAAGCATTTTCATTTACAGGGCAGCAGATTTGTCTTGTTATCTCAGTTTTTAAAGGAGAAAGTTCTTCCTCCTCTCCTCCATTGATACAACCACTCAAATATTTCTTAGGGTGTGCACAATAAATGGAAAAGGAAATCCTTCAGAAATCCTTTGGGCAGAGTAAAGGTAGAAGGATTTGGAATTTGCTTTCAAGTATTGTCAAATGTAAAATACACATCTAGGGAAAATATAAGGATTTGGATGCTGGACATCCTTTCCTTTCATCAGCACCAGGAACTATTATCTCATATCACTTTCTATAAGCAATCTGAAATGGGAAAACCCAGGTGATGGATGGCTGGACTGCAATTAAAAGACAGGGAAATATGTTATGCCAGAGGAGCAGGTAGTGTTTACTTTAAAATCTTACAGCATGAGTGAGAAAACAACCTTTACTTTTCTTCTGCCTCTTCTTCCTTTCTTTCTCTCATCCTTAACTCCTTTGAATGTCAGACCTTTTCAGTAATCACATTGCTTTAGGTCGTAATGAAGGCAAATAAATAATGCTTAACCTTTCTTAAAGATACCTAGTTACTCTTCCAAAACCAATTAAGGGTTACATTTATCGCTGGAATTAGCCAAAGTCATCATGCTAAATTTCCAAACTTGTCTAAGGAAAAAAACATTAAAATTAAGGTTGGGGAAGGAGAAAGAAAAACTTTGTCCTTCCTATAGTCTTAAAACCTTCTAATTTTAAAGTATGTTACAAGTGGGAGAAAGAAGAAAATAAATTGATGATGCATGTTGCACTTCATGGCTGCTCCTGAGAAAGGGAGGGAATTTGCTGGATTTCACCACACTGGTTTTTTTGGTGGTGTTTTTTTGTTTGTTTGTTTGGTTTGGTTTGGTTTGGTTTTTTTCCCCTTTTTCTCTCCAGCAGTTTTGTCTTCCTGTCTGTTTGGCATATATTTCCAATTCTTTTGAAATCTTTTTCAGTCTTTTGAATGATGACTAACAACATCAGCAATAAAAACCCCTCAATTTTTCATAACCTAAAACACAGAAGCACATCAATCCAATTCGTCTGCAAATCTTGCAGATAAATCTTGCTGTCCTGACATGTAGGTTTTGATCTGTTTATTGTCTGTAGCAACATGCTATGTCCAGGTCCCCAAGGCTGCCTGCACACTCGGGTCTGGGGTGAGAGACTACTGGAAAGCTGATGGGAAATGATGTCAGGATGGGTTCTTGTTTGGGTGTCCAAAAGCTTTTATTGCCTCAAGGCGGGTCCAGGGACAAGAACAAGAACAGGCTGAGGGTCCAGGATTATATACAGAGTAAGAGGGGCCAGTTTGGAGGGCTAGGATCCAATGGGAGTAGGGCAAAATGGTGCACAGGAGGGGTTAGGAACAGGGACAACCACTGGGAATTGGCAGGGTGGGGAAATGCACCAAAACCGGACCCATAGGGATTTAAGGAAGAGAGAATATTCTAGGGGGTACACACAAATGGGAAAAGGGAGACAAACAGGGGATCAGGGCCAATGAAATAATGGAACTAGGAACAAATTAACATGAGAATGCAAAGGCCTGTGGGCAGAAGGCTTCTCTCACCCCAACCTAGGGAGGCATTACTTATTACAACCCTTCCAGGGCTGAGGGATGAGGAATTTACTAATTGGCCCTTGGATCCCCACAGTTTTCCACTTCTGTCAATGTCTTCTCACCTGAAGAAACAATTTCTTTGTATGACATGGAAGTCAAAATCTCACCCTCAGTAATGGAACTGCCATTGACCCTACCATGACCACATTAGTTTTTGTGCTGTGGGTTTATCACTGCACATCTTGCCCTTTTTGCTCCTGTCAAAGAGCATATGATAGGACTTCATCCCCTGTCTCCTGCATGACATTGTGCTCCTGTGCTTGCCTGTCATGTCTCTTCACAGCACCTTCATAAGCATCAATGTCATGAAATTTCAACAAAGGTTTGAAGATTAAAGACTGACACGATCAGTCAGATTCTTCACAAAACATATTTGGGAACATTTAACAAGGAGAACTCAAAAGGTCACAGTCCAGTTTCCTGTGGGCATAGAAAGCAGCAGACTTCAGATGTATCAAGCTGAGAAATGTGAGTATGTGTGACCATAAATACCCACAGTTATACACAGAGCTCTCCTTGAGTCTCATCTGAAAACAAAACAGCACCAAAATAAAAAATTTACAGTTTACATGATTTAGTTTTTAAAGCATTTGTAAGGGAATTTAAGCAAGCTTTTTTTCCTTGGCTATATTTTTTCCAAAAAAAGAGAAAAATTTGAAGAAGTGGTCTCAGCTGGAAGCATGCCCTTAGCATTAGAGTGCTAAAATGAATGTGGTATATCAGCCCTGACAATCTGTCAGAAAGAGAGAAAAAAATATTTTTGTTCCAAGAATAAGATGTATTCAAAAGTTTTGCCCTAACATTGTAACAAGCACTCCCCCTCTCCCCAGAAAACCTGGCCCAGAGTCTCAGCCAAAGGAAGCACATCTCCTTTTATATAAGCAATTTTCATCACTTGAATAGCCAACCAACCCACATTTCTTGACATAACTATCTTTTTTAAAAAATATATCCCTTGATTAGACTCATATGAATACCACAATAAATGAGTGATTCCAGATATCCCTCAAGAATAACAAGCATTATGGATTAATAATGTCATGCTGGTCATTAATTTTGCTAACCACAGAATTTATGTTAGTGAACATACTTGCTATGTAGTTATGTTGCATTTATTCATATGCAGCAGTTACAATGTGCTAGATGCCAGTTCCCATTATTTCACTGTTTCACAGCTGACAGTGCAATTTACCCATAGGAAGTCGCTATTAAGGTTTCTAATTTTCAGTCTAGTAAATTGAATGAAGGAGAAGCCATGTTACACATCATCAAGAGTTAAAACTCAGAGTAAAGGAAATAAACTATTCAAGTAACCCGTAGTACTAGCCTTGTTTTTGTTAGGATGTCCTAACATAAAATGTATTTATAAACACAGACGAGTGAAATAGTAGATAGACATTTTTGATTTGGAAATGATACTCACCAATTAATATGAATATTTTTAGTCTCTGGAATCATGAATCAGTCTTAAAGTTGAAATACTTTGCTTCCTAGCTTGTAATAATCTCAAAAATAAGGGGCAACAGTATATCAGAGTTGTAACAATGCAACTGTGCTGACATTTCAGTCTTCTTTCTGAATTCTGCTCTCTTTTTCAGAAGCTTCAGAGGAAGATGTGATATTTCAAACAGTGAGGGAAGAAAGTAATATTTGAGCTTTTCTTAAGGGTCTGGAATATTTTACTCGTCATGTTCTATGTCTCCTGACACAGAGTCAGCATCCTGCACTCAGCAGCTCCTCACCTCAGTACCATCTGTAAGACTGAAGTCTTCCCATCTTCAACCTCTGCTCTTTCTCTGCAGACCTGGTGCCCTTTATCCACAGAAGAGACAGAACAGATCAATCATTAAAGCAGTGCTGTTGTAGGGCTGGTACAGAGAATAGCCAGGTGGACAACTTCAAAAGGAATTACCAACTGCTGTCCACATTTCCAGACAAAAATGAGAATTTGGCAGCTTTAGCCTTTGGCAGCTTTTTGTCTGATGGCCATTTGTTCCCTTTTCTGGTGCTCCATCTGCTCCCTCTGGTAGGATCCACCAAAGATTCAACTGTGGGAATATGCAGCTAAAGCTACCAATAAACACCCTGTAATATCTCCCATGTAGTAACACTTGGGGTTTGGAAACACAACTATGAATTCCCTTTTATTAGAGCTGGGACAGCAGACAAGAAGAAAAAATAATAGACATGAACTGGTCACTCAACACAGCCAGCAAACAAGTGGAAGTCTGAAGTGCATTTAAGGCTCAAGATTTCACTAAGCCAGAAAGAAGTAGCAAAACCAGACCTATATTAGTGGACATTTTACTTCTTTGAAGCACAATGAGAAACCCAGCTTGTAATCCCTGCTATGGCCCTGTCCGAAGTCAGAACCTCATGCCTGATTGCTCTCTCCTCTGCTCTGCTCATCCTGAATTCTCCATCAACTGAACTACTACAACAGGAAAATATAAATCATTGTCCTGAAAGGGACAATAATTTATCATCCAGAATCTCTCCTGTTAGAGCCTAAGTAGGAAGATGAATGAATGAAACTTGAGACTTCCATATCTGAAGTCCACATATTCAGATTTAAGACCATTTACTGTAAAAGGAAATACCATCCCCCTGCAAACAGACCCTTCCATATTCCTGTGAGGGGGACAGCAGCAACTCACCATCAGTAATAGATTCAGTAATACATTCACAAGAGTTGACTTTGAGGAGGCATTACTGAATTTCTGAGATTTTTCAGCTGTTCCCACTGCTCTCAGCATTTCCTTACTGACCAGCACCAGGCTTCTCACTGTACATTGTTTATACTCCCCAGACACTCAAGTCTCCCAAGGGCTGCACAGGCAAATTTACACCATGTTATGGTTCCCCCTTCCCATCCTACACCTACATTTCAGGTGCCTCAACACCCAACTTCTGAGTCCCTTTCTGACCCAAATTCAGAGTTTTTCACTTCAGATGAGAACTGAAATACGCAGCTTTGAGAAAAGAGCCTGCCCAACATAACACAACTACATATACATATTTTAGGTTTTCTTTATTTATATTTTTAAATTCAAGAATTACACACTAGCCAACATTATTATATATTTACATGCTGAAACTGGCTGCAATAATTTTAAATTCAAGAAAATATCTCTTATGTGCTACTCATTTACAATCATCATTTTACTACCTCATATATCCCAGAGGTTAGCAGTCCTTTTGAGAAAGACATGATGATCTGATGCAATGATATCCACTAGTATTTTGCATTTTCTAGCCATTGGAAAATGTGCATTATGTGCATATAAGAAAGGCTACAAGGTCATTAGTAAGGCTGATGATAACTACATTATGAAATAAATAGTACTAAGTAAAAGATAACTCAGAACTGTGCAAAGACAGTACTAACAGAACCATTTAAACACCCATGCCAATAAAAATGTGATAGAAGTCAAATCATAGGCAGTTTGTCAGAATTAATCATGTTTCAAATGTTCTTTTTGTCTTCAACTGAAAGCAACAGGACAGACCATGAACCATACAGCCTGGTGAGTATCTGCCAAATGACAGGAACAGTGAAAACATACAAAATGCTATCAAATTGGAATAGATGACCTCATGTCTGAAAACATTAAAAAAATACAACCCTTCATATGAAAGTAGAGGTGAGTTTTTTCATCATTTAAGTTTCATTTTTTTTGTCAAAGCACTTACAAAGAAAATAATTTTATATTTATGAAATGTTAGTGTTGCATATTCTTGTAGACATGATCTACTTCAATTTTATATAATGGATATTTAAATTATTAGTATTTTTACAAAGTAGAATAGGGCAGTCTTTTTGATCAACAACATTCCATTTGCTTCTTAAAAATTTAGACAAAGTTCCTAGTGCATTTTACTAAGCTTTACCTTTGGTGTTAAGCAGTGACTTTTTAGATTTCCCTTTTTAAACAATTTCTGGAGTGAAGATTCTTTGGCTTTTGGGGGACTACGCTCTCTGACGACAGTCAAACATCCTGGGTTTTTTTAAAAGAAAAATATAAGCCTACTATTAAATACCATAAGAGACAGATTTCAGAATCAGACAGATGCAATATGCAGGCTTCTGTAATGAAATCGCCAACAGCTGAATTCTCACTTACTCCTGACACCTTCACCTCTCCTCTCACTGAAGCAACATAAAGGTGCCTTATTGTAAGTGAAAACCAGGCCCTGTTTTGTGTGGCCTGAACATTTTAACCACACAAAAGAATCAGCTGTGCCAGCAGGAACATTGCCACCGTGGCTATTTTACACTACAGCACTTCCTGTACTATTTTATATCTGGAGTCCAAATCTGTTTATGCAAAAGGGTGTTTAAATTACTCTGCTAGAGCACTGCAATTATTGTACTTAGTAAAAAAAGTCACTAAACAAATACTGTATCTATCGACTGCTCATTTACAGCTTATTTAATTATTTACATAATTTTAGGACACATTAACCTAAACCATAAGTAGAATTAGCTTTTTGCCTTACCATAAAGTACAAATTAGAAGTTAAAAATGTTTAAGAAATCTGATAATATTTACACACGTTCAGCTTAAGTTATGGTTGCTCACATTGTATGTTCTATGTACACATAGCAAAATGTTTTGATCACTACTGATATAGTATTGTACCCTGGCCATCCCACCCTAGATTATTTTCTAGAAATAGTTACTATTTTTGCCTTTTTTTTTTTTTTCTTGGTTCCCTACGGAATTTGTTGGTTTTGAAAACTTACTAGTAGACAATGCTGTTATAAAAAGAGAGAGGAGAAATAGGCAAGCAATGTGAGGACTAGTCTAATTCCAGATGCAAGGAGGTACAGTACTATCATCATGTCAAATGGTGCAATACTCCATATGGATCATAAGCATTGATCTGCTGATATAGAAATGCCCAGTTACCCTGTAGAGTAAGTTTGTTTTTTTTCTAAATACAATAATATTTTAATTTTTTTTTTCTCAAAAATATATTCATACACTGGTTGATGGTAGAAACAAAACTATTATTAGCTTATTCCTTTAACACACCAACATGTGAATGTGTGTGCATATATATATATATATATACTCAGCACGTGTATATATACACACATATGTCCATACAGACATTTGGGGGTATGTCCATATGCACATACAGCTGGAAAATGTTTCACATCCATTCACTTATGTTTAACACTGTGTTATAGGACTGGAACACAGTCTAATAATTATAGTGAAAATTAATTGAGGTTTAATTTTAATGCATGTTTTTTTTCTGAAATAAATAGGATATTTTCCCCAGGTGTAAGACCACCACTCATTTTCTCTATGCATTGTGCTTTAGTACCTTACAGATTTTATGGGGTTTTTCTTAATTAGAATGTAAGGACTCTGAAGAACTCTGCCACATGCTGTTATCTGGGACTCTGTTTTCCTCCCCTGGGAATGAGAAAATAAATGGTCACAATGTCATTGCTTGAGTCTTTCTTCCCGGTCACCGAACTGCGATAGGCTAGAAACATAACATTCCTTATGCAAACACAGAAATATGTTGCATGAATTTTCAATTCTGAAAATGTGTATCATACTTACTAGCAGTCATGTACAGTATATATTTACAGATTGAGCTCAAAGATTTCATTAAAACTGTGCCATGTTATAGTCATAATTCCCCCATGAATTTCACAAAAATGAAAAACACCTTAATTGCTGGCTATTATGTCTAATAGAACAATAAAATGTGCAATTATATTACAGGTTTTATCTAAATTATTAACTTTGCTATTTTGTTTATTGAAACCAACAACAATTAACATGGTTAAAAATATCTAGAATATTCATTTTCGGTCAATTCTAAAGTAAAATAAATTTATTCTAGTTTACCTGGAGGGTAGCACACATAGCAAACCCCGTATCTCATGTATGTTGGCATCATTTCTCACTTTCACTCAAGTATCTCAGGAATAAGTGCTTACCTTGGGCTTGAGTTACGCTTTTTCCATGATAGTCCCTCACCAGCCTTTCTCACCCCCATCTTTTTATATCACAGTGTTAAGCCTTAGTACAAAGTGGTAGAATCTTTCTCTTTCACTAATTTTATATCACATTAATAGCCAGAAGAACATAGTAAAAGCAAAAGTGCTCCTTCCCCACAGATAATTTTTCTTTCCTAGTGACACCTGAGCAGAAACCAAACATTTTCTTTCACTCTCTGAATAGCAACATCAGAGAGTATTATGGCTTGTACTGTAGCTTCAGAAAAGTGAATGTGCAGTTCCAGGATTTGATCTCTGTGGTTTTTGTATAGCTGAAGCAGTTACCAATGCAGAGAGTCAACATATTCCCTGTAAGGTTTTTATATTTGATGTGTATCAACCACAGAAAGGCTGTGAGCTCCCTGCAGTCACACTCTGCTTCTGTGAAACAATAAAAGGAGCTGTCAGCAATTTCTGAAATGAAAGAAGAGCTTGTACAGAAGAATATTATAAGACTGCTTTCATTTAGGATAATTAATATAATTTTTAAAGAACAGACTTTGAAGAGAAATACTGAATTTTGATATGCTCCATTTCTTAAAATTGGGAAGAAAATCCAACATACCTATGATGAAATCCCAAGTGCATCTATGAAGGTTATTGCATTATGCATGAAATGCAGTCACAAATTAGTAAGTGAACAAAAACCAAAATTTTGACTTGGAAAGTTAATCACATGAGGAAAACCTGTCTCTACATATTGCAGAGTCTGAGCCTGGAGGCAGTGTGTGAATGTACACAACTTCCTGGCAGGTAGGGTGTATTGCAAATCCCATCTCAGGCCTCAAAACTATCCTCTGTTATTTGAAACAGAAATAAGCATATGACATGCTCCAAAAAAGGTCTGAATATTTGCCTATTAGTTCCCAGAGCTATTCTCCTCCTGTTAGTGTCATTCACTGTCAAACAAGGGGAGGGGGAAGCAAAAATAAAACCACAGAAATCTGTAAGACAATTAATCTTTTAAAGTAGGAACAACAAAAAAATATATTTTATGAAAAATATTCTTCAGAATTTTTTTAGTACCCTGAAAAAATGCTTATACTCTCTCATTTCTTTCAAGGATTTGTACACAGATGAGAGGTAGTAACAAAATTTTTTGGTCTAAAATATTTTTTTTCTATTCTATTTTGCCTGTAAAAATAAAGCTCAACTGAATGAAAAAAACTCGACCTTTTAATTCACGAAGTTTCCCAAAGAAAAACTGAAATTTTCTGGTTTTTCAATGGAAATCACCCTAAAGAAAGAAACATTCAATGGTGTACTTAAACTTTTAAAGTGATTGCTACGAATTTCTTTCCTTTAGTATAACGCATTAAGGAAAACAAAAAGTAAAATGGTATTGCCTAATCCAGACTGAGAAAACACCCTGTCAGTACTTCTTGTACAGAAATACATATGCTCAAATCTTGACTGCTGGAAGAGGTACAGAACCTTTAACCAACAGCAGGAAGCATAATGCTGGAAAGATGAAAACTTGGAAGAAATCACACAACTGCACACGACTATTTCAGACTAAGGTGTGTACGACTGACAACATTCATCTGCACCGTGTATACACACACACACACACACACATATATATATTTATACACACACACACACACACACTCTCACTTTTATGTATATGTAGCCTCCTGTCTCCTTGCCCCTGCACTTTGTAATTGCTCTCTCTCCCTCCCTGCCCTAGAGGAAGTCAGGGAACCACTGGTTTCCTTCAGCCATCTACAGAATTACTATTCAGGCAATCAGTTTTGGCACTTTGGACAGATTCCGTTTCCCCAACACAACCCAGCAGCATCTACCCCTGCAGTGCTGATGCATTTTTATACTGTCTCTACATTCCTCTATTGATCCCAAACACAGTCACTGTGACCGTGAGCATATGTTCTCTCTTTAAAATACAAACAAACTAGTGCTTTTTGCTTCAGCTTCTGTGCAAACACCCAACCCCAATATTATCAGTCAAAGGTTCAGTTCTTTCAGTAAATAAAAGGAAATACCTGAATATGGTTGGGAAACCTCTGACCATCATCATCTTGGAAAGATGATAGGCACTACTTGTTTTCAAGTTTACACATTTAAAAAGTAAAGTGTAAGTGTTTCATAAGCATGACAACTCAGTACACTCCCTTAAGTGTATATGCATGCCTTGGATACGCACTTTCCCTAGAGTGGCATGTACTGCTGTTGAAATTAAAACTTGTTTCTCAAATGCTGCTCTATAAATTTTTGTACCACTAAACACAAATGGCCACTAAAAAAAAGAAAAAAAGAGTGAAGAACAATGAGACAGAAGTGATTTTCAAAACCCAATTTGCCTTTACACTCAAAATGCACTTATATTTTGATAAGGGGATATGTCCGAACTGCAACTTAACATATATATGGTTTAGCAGATACAACCAAAACATTATAAAAACAGACCATAGAGTGGGCCAGCAACTAAGGTGTTTTAAAATAACTTTTTGTCCAGAATAGAATTTTCCCAAGTCCCACTTTTGGCTGTACAACTGATTTGAAGAGAAATCCAGTTCTTGCTTCCTGTGTGGCTTTGTCTCTTAGTTCACATAGTAAAGCCAATAGACAATATTGAAGAAGGAAAAAACAACAGGGAAGAATATGCGAGACCATCGATCTATGGCATTTACATCAGTCAAGTCAGGGATGGTGATTTTCAGCTGGGACGCGCGTCTCCGTAGCCTGCTTTTCTTCTGTGCCACGTGTCGCTCCAGGGCGTTGCGGCCGAAGCTGTGTCTGGGCAAACCAGCTTTCCGGTACTGGATACTCGAAGTGTCATAGGCCAGCATTGTGCTCCTAGGGTCCCCAAGCCCCATCACAGCCTCAGAGGCAGCCACCTCGTTTTTAATTTCAAGTGTGCTCAACAAAATATTTTCGTGTGGATCCATCTGTAAAAAATAAGCGAGCAGATTTAGCGGGAGAGAAAGGAAGCCCAGTCAGTTGCAAACTGAAGCCATGCTGATAATGGCCATATCTAACATTACTAGTTTATTGGATGTCAGCCTAAAAGACTTTAAACATAGCTGTGATTATATTTATTATCATTTATTTGTGAGCTCAAGGAGAAATAGGGCCAGCATAGTATAATGCAATAAATGGTATTTCCTTAGACCCGATGTTCAGCAAGCACAAGCAATACCTGGGAACAGAGAACACGCTCAGCTCCTGAAAGTGGGATTCTGCCACTGAGTAGGATATCTGGGACAAATATTGAACTTTTCAGGGTTTTGGAAGGAAATCAAATGGAAAATTATCTGCTTTGTTTTGGTTTATCTTCTTTGAAGTGAAAGCTTTGGCTCTGACATAAATGCCCATTATTTGCAGGGTCTCTCTGCCTCCATGAATGAGGTACAGAGCAGTGCCCAAGAGAATGGACATTTTAGATCCCCATATTCCAAACAGAAGTACTGGTTAACTGGGGAAAGACCATGGTATATTCTAACTATAGCTATGTGGAAACTCCATGCCCCAGTACTAATAAATTTCATAAATACAGCGCATGCTGTAAGTGCATGCTGCTGTAATAGCAGAGATCTGCAATTTCAAGCAAGGAAAAAGATATGCAGAATGTAATCACATCAAATGTACACTGAACAGTTGTTTCAATGGGTTGATTTAGCTACTATGCATTCTTTCAAGGCAATTCAGTGAAAAAATATTAAAGCAATATTGTAGAGAAACCCCTTAGACAATCTAGAGGATTTCAAAGATAAGGAACTAAATTCCACTCTTAGGCAATCTGGAAAAGATCTGGAATATGATAGGAGAATTTTAAAAAGAATCCATTTGTAGAAAACAAATAAAAGTTATTTAGGAAGTTCTAATTCTCAGCCTTCCCTCTAAGCATGTATTTTGAATTGTGTGATAACAGATTATAATTAACTGAAAGTATTTAAAACCAATAATAGCTAATGAAAAGCTAATTAATTACACTGAATTAGTGATGGTAGTGCAGATATAGTCCAGATATAGTGCATATAGTCCAAATAAGAGAAAAAAGTGTCCCAGAGCTCCTTTAAGAAAAACTCAGCCCATTATTAATTTATCAAGTACAGAATATATTCTATGATTATTACTCAAAGTCCAAAAACTGTGACTTTTGTCTTTTGGATTTCTAAACAATAGCAGGGTATTAGTATATTCTGTAATATTTAGAAACTAGCTGTCAGCAGCAGGTACCTCCCTGCACTGCCCAGTGCAGTCTGCATTTGCCATTATTAAAGCCCATATGTAATATTTACCATGGCAAGATGAGAGAATTGGGTTTAAATGATTTGTTTTTCAGTAGCACCCCCTGCACAGTGTTATGAACTGAGATGTCAGACGCTCACAAAGGTACTTTGGACCTACTGAAACACTGTTATTTGAGTGATTACATCTGTTCAAATGATGCACAAAAACTAGTCTTGCTGAGATGACAGAATTCCCCCTCTCTCTCTTTTTTTCCCCATCCATATGAGTTTGCACCCTTCTAGTTTCATTAAATTTAAGTTATAAATCAAATGTCATGACTCAGTGTGAAAAAACAAAAAAATTTTTCATTTTTGTTTGCTTTTCATCAAAGCCACATAAAATTTTTGCAATTCCTAGTGTGTTAGAGGAATCAATCTTCACTGGAAAAATGGGAAAGTTGAGTTGGTACTCAAAGAAAATTCCTTTAGGAACTCTGTAGCATGATATTGAGCATAGTGAGGGAACACTGCTTCTATCCAGGAAGGCCATCAAATCAGTTCTCATCTGCATTGGACAAAACTAAGGTAAAAGTAGTATTCTGCTACTGTAATTTCAACAAAAGCATATATATGCAAAAGCTTTCAAATAGGTCTGTGAAACTTCTGAAGATGGATTTCAAATATTTTCTAATGGGTGTATTTATTTAGAAAATTCTGTTGTGATTTTTGGGATAAAATGAAAGGGGACTCATTTTTGTTTTTAGATCTCAGACCAACCACAGGACTTCCAGGGTCCTAAAAAGAAAACAGTTAATTACAGGCACTTGGCCTTCATTAATCCCAAAAGTCTAAAATCACAAGAGGTATGTTTCATACATGAGGGGTGCAAAGTCATTTGGAAACTACATTTTCTGTATTTTCATAAAACCTCAAGAGAAGAAGTTTTAGTTCCAGTGACATTAGGGGAAGTTTGATAGAACATCTATTAATGTAATGGGTTTACCCCTTAGCCCAGAGCCTGGGTTATTTTCACCTCAGTGTTGTGCATTCTAGGATACTATTTTTGGAAAGATTTTAGTGCCAACAATTTTTTTCACATCTTAAATCTTCTTAGGACGAATCTACTTTAAGCATTTTATCCTTTTGATCTGCAATGATATTAGAAATTGGAGTGCTCTTTACATACTTGAATACATTCTATACAACACACATGCACGAAAGGCTATTTTAGTCTGCTAGAGTTACACACAGACATGTTTCAGCAACATGATATCACTCCAGTCAACTTTTTTTCATAATGCAGCAAAATGCTGCAGATGTCTGATAATCTTGAAAGCAGTTAGTAAGATTAGTGATGCTGGGCAGAAAAAAACATTAAGCAATATTCTAAACTATCTTCTAGGGAAAAATGTCTTGTGTACATATCACACTCATATTAGAGTTGAAGCACAGCATTTTTCAATATTCCAAGACTTTTTCAGAAGAAATAATGCAAAATACAGTAAATAATAGTGATGGGCGAATCTCCAAGTGTCACAATACCCAGGTAAACACCACAAAGTTCAGCTGTTTCTTGAGCACTGATTTTACCCTCCTGCATCTGGAATAATGAATTGACCATAAGAATAAATGCATTTTTTTCCATTATATTTTGAATTTCCAACTCAAAGGAACTGGAAGGAAGGCAGGTAGGCAGGAAGGAATCTAACTCTTCAGCCTTTGTCAAAAGGTTCCCTGTCAGATTAGAGAGAGCTGGGAATGTTTTTTCCACCAAGTAGATTCGCCCAACTCTAACTAAAACATGCTTTTGTGATGAAGTGACACCTGAAATAGAATGACAGTGAGCTAAATTTCTTGTAAACAGCACCACTCATTCAAAAGGATCCCAAAGCGCTTTACAAGCATTAGAAAGAAGAACCACTTCACTTCCCAGTGAAGCACAATCACCTCTGAGGTGAAATGTAGTGACTGACAGTGCAGAACAACAAACTTTATTTTAGTTGAGGAAATGGAGAATGTTGTAGCCAATTGAAACTATGGGGTGGGTGAGCGGTGGTGGGGAATGTTGGGTAAGCAGAACAGTTACATAAATTGATATTTGGCCAGGTGCTTGGGGTTGAGATGACCATGCTATAAAAAAGTGCCATGGGATCTTTAATGACCATAACTGGTCAAGACCTGAATTTTACGTCTCTGAGGATAAAAACATTAGAAAACAATGAAAGATACCTTTGTTGAATACATTTCTGGACAATGATATGTGCCAATTATTCTTCTGTCCTGTAAGTTAATAAAATCAAGACCAGTTTCCTTAGAGATAAGGCAGCTATTATCTTTCATTTAAAATTAAAGCATTGTAGGATAATAGTAGGACAAGTAATTAAAATATATAGGGACCTCTAAGCCAACAATTAGCAAAGGTACATTCTGGCTTCAGAGGTGCTGTTACTGCCTTGCTCTGCTCCTCAAGGTAACATAAGGTTGTGATGTAAATGTATTTTTTCCAATTGGTCATTTGACCAAGGAAGATATGATGATATGAAAACAATTATTAAAATTATTTTGGGGGGAAAATAAGTGGAAAAGTGGTTTCAAAAGGAGGTGGAGGAAGGTTAAAAAGATCTCTTGGTGCTGAAGGATTGTTCAACCATAGAACTAGACTCTTTATGGTGAACAGGAGAGTTCAAACTTAATGGATAAATTCCCAGGATGAGAAAGGAAGGGAGGATGAAGATGAAGCAGCAGCAAATACTATGGAAATAAAAGGTGAAGACAGAAGTGGAGGAGAAATGACCAGAGCACAGCAACCGTGCAAGACACTGGGGTTTTATAAAACAATCTTAAATGTGACCAACAAATTATATGATGCAAATGATTCATTTATGGGTCCAGGTAAAATGGAAGAAAAGCTGACTCTGGAGCCATGAAAGAGGCCATGACTTTTCTGATGGTCTCAAACAAAGGGAATACAGAGGAAAGCATAGAATTGTTACCATTAAATATTCTTCCCGATACCTAAAAACTCCAAAATGATGGCTTTCTTGAGGAATTCCTTTTACAATAATACATTAGCAATTGTAAAATACAAGGAAATTACAACTCCCACACGCATTCATAAGGAATCCTCCAAGGATGACCAGACCTCTAAAATTATTAACCTCCAGTAAATCAGTTCCTTGTTGATTATGCTCTGCTGTTCTGCCAAACACAGCTTTATAATACCAGAGAAACTGATAGTGATGAATAGAAAAGATATATAATATTGACACTTCTCCTTTGTCATACACTGTTCATTTTCACCTGTAACCTTCAACTACAGGCAGGAACTGATAGCTCATTTTGTGGTAGAGTGTGTATAAAACAGACAATAGGGAATAGCTCATTTTGTGGTAGAGTGTGTATAAAACAGACAATAGGGATGGAATTCCTGATAGAAAAACCCATTGAAACAAAACAGTTAGAAATTGAAAAGAAATATATTTTTGTTAAGTAGAGCTGTCATTAGACAAAAAACCCAGTCTATTACAAAGAATAAAACCTGAAATTTAGCAGTTATATGTCCTGTGAAGTGAAATTCTTAAGAAATAAAGACAGAAATAAAGGTCCCTTTCTCAATGACGACTTACATGGCATGTAATTTAATTTGTTACAGATAAAGACCATACTGGCTATAGAATAGTTCCCCACATCTTAAAAGCTGAGGTTTGCTTGGAAAGCTAATAACATTCCATTCCTGACTAGTCATGGGAGCTCTAGCAAGATCAGGTGAAAGTATGACATACACTTCACGTGTAGTAGGGATCTTCCACCTCATGAGCAAGGTTTGACTTGCTGGGTGAGAATCACTGAGCTCTGGGGGTAGCCCTACCTACACAGGCAATGTAGGATGTAGACAGCTCTGTGTAAGCTCCTGCTGGGTTCACTCTGGATGAAAAAAATAATGATTTTCAAAGGGCACCTGCCTAAAGCTATGCCGGTATTTGTGACATGATATTTTTAACATGTCTGCTGAGATAAAGCGATAGAAATTTGTAAGACACAAATATCTAATATTTCAAAATATCCATATGTGAAACAATGTCTTTAACAATGCATTTCCATTGTCTTTAAAAAACTCCATTTACTGCCAGCATTGAAGTTATTGTTTATGAAACCAGGCTATCATTCATTGTTCCACACCTAAGATTTGGGTCAGGCTGTAAAGAATGCAGTTAGAGTACAGTAAAAAAAATCATACTGATTTAGGCTCTGTGACCTTTACTGTTGCATCCTTCAGGCCACAAGTGTTTAGTTTCTGACAATCACATTACCAGAACACAGAGTTTGTTTTGAGAACATGAGCAAGGACAGGTGTGTAGAGCTTTTTGCACACAGCTGTAAGATACACTAAGTTCAGGGAGAAGTCTCAACACTTTTTTCATGGGGAAGAAAACCATATTCAAGTCTCTAACACTTCTTAAAAGATGAATACAGGAATATAAGAGGAATCTTATTTTTTATAAGAATTGAAAAAAGACATAGAATTCCATGTTGTAGTTTTATGATTACAGAAGTATTCTTAAAACTAGTTTCTAAGGAGTAAAAAATCTTATATTCACATATAGACATCTTAAATTCACATATACACATATATGAGTTTAGGCATAATCCCACCAATCTACCTACCTAATGTTTTCCTAAGTTACATGAAACTAACTCCTGGTGTCTATCTTTCTCCATGTGCAGAATTCTGGGAAAGCAGTGGAACCCGAAAGAATTTGTAACTAAATGAATTTACCAAGAAACAGGTCTTCATAGGCCAGCTTGACTGTTTCACTAAATTAACTTATTTTTAAGCAATACAAACCCTGTCATGCTTTAAAAAAGATAAAAGTAAGGATTCAATTGTCTAAATGGATGCCTCCAAATGCATCTAAATGGATGGAGTCCTTAGAATGTGTTCTCATATAAACAGATTGATGAACAGTCACTATAGTAATATTATATTTTTACCACTTAGTGACATCCAAGTGTATATAATCCAGTGATCTCAAAATTCATAAACACAACTAGGTTACCTTTTCTAGCACACACTACTTGCAGTTACAATTTATGTTTTGGATAGAAATTTGCCAGCTCCTGGAGGCTGAATTAAACCTTGACAAACTCTTTAGAGCTGATGTGTTCCAGGAAGTCAATTAACCAAATTCCCTAGCTAGACACACCTGGACTGCAGCTACATATATTTCTTCTACTTCATTATGCATAATTTGTCTTTTTTTATGTCTTATTTCTTCACAACTTGATATAATGACATAAACTGCACTAAGGGATTCTTTTATGAACTAAAAATTGTGTTTTGCTCAGGGTCACAGGCTATAGATGCAGTACAAAAGCAAAGGAGAGAATGTGCTCTAAACAAGTGTACAGGCACTGGTCTTACATTAATTAAATATGGCATTCAAAGGATTGAAACTGGAGAAAAAAGGCCTCACACAGTTGACTTGAACTTTATTCAGATGTCATGTGGAATACCAGCATAGATCGTGGAAAGTCACCTTCTGACTGCTTCTGCAAAGTGCTGAGAGCTAAAACTGGAACCTCCTCAAATTTTGCTCCTATCCAAACTCTGGTTTGATAAAAGGTGAAGAGGCTGGCCAAACACCCTGTGCATTGCTGACAGTTTCACATGCAAGTTGTTCCTTGAGAATGCATGAATGCAAATTCAGGAAAAAGGCTAAGCATTTGTAATCCATGCCTACTTTATTACATATCCTTCAATAAACTGCTGTGTAAGGAATACCCTCTGATCCTGAATCAACAATCAGTCCTTGTGCAGCTTTACCTGTACTGCAAGCAAAAGGAAAACTCTCCTTGGAAAGAAAAAAAAGAGGATGAATTCTTTCACTGACATCTGGACAGTGGCAGCATTAGCCCCAGCAATATAGAGTAGTAAGGATTTGAGACCGAAATTTTAAGAGCTTCCTGTGCCTTAGTGTTTTAATATCCTGTTCAGTTTATTAACTGAGTCTGTGCATATAACCAGTTTAAAAATCCTCTTTTTATCAAAAGCTTTTAGATCTTGTTGTAAACATGTTATATATGCTCACTCACTTTTTATACTAGGAGTACCTCTAGTCCATAGGGTACAAAGTGCCATTCTGTGTAATAGGTACTGACTGCTTTTAGGTACCTTTGCAATAGTTTCTTCTCCCTGAAGACACATTGTATGATTTCTTCAGATAGAAATGAACAAATACTGCTATGAACTGAAAAGGCCAGTGGCAAGCCAGCAGTAAATCAGTGGGGAAATAAAGGCATTAGCCAAGCCTAATTGTTTTGGAGCATTGCTTTGGAGCAAGGCCTATTATCTCGGGCCTACAGCTCTGCTAATGCATCTTCACACCACAGCCTGAAAATCCAAAGGAGTGACCTTGGCTGTTTGCAGTGCACTGAAAGCCATCACAAGCTGCAAAAAGCCACAGGTAGAGAGATCAGTGCATTCCATTTGGCTCAGGTTAACACACTCCTTCATCTAATTCACCCCTTCTTTTCTAGAGACATCTACAGATATGACAGCGAAAAAAAAAATACACAGGCTGTTCCAGTTATTCTCTAGTAAAATGGTGAAAAGAAGTCTGGAAGCCATCATGGGAAATTTCAGGTAGACACCAGCACCTGAGCTGACTGTGGCATTTCCAAGTGTGCTGCTGTAACAGAGGGCATTTCTGGCACGATGGACTAGAAAGTTCTCAGTTTCCCTGCTACAAGAGCACTCATACATTAGACAGTGAATCTGAAATTGGGCATCTGGGGAAGGAGGATGCTGTGGGAGCCCCATTTCCCTGCTACATTACACAGCTGTCAGTCCATCCTCAGCTCACTAGCTGAGGAAAAAATTAGGTGTAATCACTTGTGAAACAGGTAAGTGCATGCTCTTATTTCTCTCAAAGCTCTGATAATGCAATGGAGTTCCTTTAGAGTGAAAGATCTGAGGAAAACAATTGAACTTGTCCAGCTAAACTTGGTCAGACTCCTTTCCTTGGTCAAAAAGCTGTAGGAAAAAAACCAGCAGCTGAGACAGCTTGAAGGGGAAGAAAGTTACCAAGTGCATCTGAGGGCAGGTTAAACTTCTATTTGTTGTTGGATTACAATCTCACCTCCTTTAGCAACCCTGTGCTAATCCAGATGTAACAACAGTGGGCCAGGAGGGCAATGAATTGCAAAGACACCTGTATTTGTTTAAACCTTCTTAGCGCCCTAAGCCCTTCATTAATTTTTTTGAGAACACTTCTACTGTA